ACTATGGATAGTAAAACTAACGATTAATTTGTTTTTCTGTTTTATCAGATGATACAGTAAATAAATATCGATATTTGGAATGGACCGCGAAACTTTAATAATTAGTTAGAGTAATGAAATCCCCTGAAAGCATTTTCGTGGAGAAATTAAATAGTCACTTTATACTTACGTCTCAGATACATGGGAAGAGGGGAAACATGTGGAAGATTAACCCTTAGCTAAACATGTACGTAAACATGTTGAATACCATCAGTATATTGTACCATTAGTCTGAAACGGATTACTCTGTTGCGATTGTTTTAAGGAGTTATTTTCCTTATCCATTCGTCTTCAAACCAAGAACAATACGCTACATTTCCATCGATTGTGACCCAAAATGTGGAAATATGTGAATATGTAATTTCTTTTATTTATTGACAAATCAATGTTACAGTTTCTGAATTGTGGAAGGTTTTATTTGTATCTACTGTTCAGCCACCTATCTCCTACATGAATGTTATATACTGCATTACACAACGCTGACTAAAGATTTTACTTTGTTCCAAATAAGGAATTAAGTGTACAGAAACCACACATTCTGGAATAAAGACAGATGTACGAGTCTCGGTGGACAGTCCACCACGTACGTACCATAGCAGTAATGTTGACGCGGAGGCGGCAGACGATTTACAGCAGGTCGCGCGAGACATGGTGTTCATGTAGTTTTATAGAATTACCTATGGAGGGTGTGTTGGATTGATTTCAATAATATTTTGTTTGAATGTCTTCGTATCACGCTTCGTCTCTACAGTGTATAAAATTATAAAGACGATATGTATAAATAACTGCGTTATACCATATTAGGTGGTTGTCTTTTCTGTCTCGTGACTTCTGAAAGTTTCATATTAAGGCTTGCTGTTTCATCTAATTCAGCCGTAGTATGTTGAAAAAAAAAATATCAGAGAAGTCTCACACTTTATCTAAAACTACGCATGTTGTAATATGTTGTCATAGCTATGTGAACCTGTTTATATATGTGTGTGATACGTTGTCATAGCTATGTGAACCTGTTTCTATGTGTGTGATACGTTGTCACAGCTTTGTGAACCTGTTTCTATGTGTGTGATACGTTGTCACAGCTATGTGAACCTGTTTCTATGTGTGTGATACGTTGTCACAGCTATGTGAACCTGTTTCTACGTGTGTTGTCATAGCTATGTGAACCTGTTTCTACGTGTGTTGTGATACGTTGTCATAGCTACGTGAACCTGTTTCTACGTGTGTTGTGATACGTTGTCATAGCTATGTGAACCTGTTTCTACGTGTGTTGTGATACGTTGTCATAGCTATGTGAACCTGTTTCTATGTGTGTGATACGTTGTCACAGCTTTGTGAACCTGTTTCTATGTGTGTGATACGTTGTCACAGCTATGTGAACCTGTTTCTATGTGTATGATACGTTGTCACAGCTATGTGAACCTGTTTCTACGTGTGTTGTCATAGCTATGTGAACCTGTTTCTACGTGTGTTGTGATACGTTGTCATAGCTATGTGAACCTGTTTATATATGTGTGTGATACGTTGTCATAGCTACGTGAACCTGTTTCTATATGTGTGTGATACGTTGTCATAGCTACGTGAACCTGTTTATATATGTGTGTGATACGTTGTCATAGCTATGTGAACCTGTTTATATATGTGTGTGATACGTTGTCATAGCTACGTGAACCTGTTTATATATGTGTGATACGTTGTCATAGCTATGTGAACCTGTTTATATATGTGTGTGATACGTTGTCATAGCTATGTGAACCTGTTTCTATGTGTGTGATACGTTGTCACAGCTTTGTGAACCTGTTTCTATGTGTGTGATACGTTGTCACAGCTATGTGAACCTGTTTCTTTCTATGTGTGTGATACGTTGTCACAGCTATGTGAACCTGTTTCTACGTGTGTTGTCATAGCTATGTGAACCTGTTTCTACGTGTGTTGTGATACGTTGTCATAGCTACGTGAACCTGTTTCTACGTGTGTTGTGATACGTTGTCACAGCTATGTGAACCTGTTTCTATGTGCGTTGTGATACGTTGTCATAGCTATGTGAACCTGTTTCTATGTGTGTGATACGTTGTCATAGCTATGTAAATCTGTTTTTACGTGTGTTTTGAAACGTTGTCATAGCTATGTGAATCTGTTTCTACGTGTGTTGTGATACGTTGTCATAGCTATGTGAACCTGTTTCTATGTGTGTGATACGTTGTCATAGCTATGTGAACCTGTTTCTATGTGTGTGATACGTTGTCATAGCTACGTGAACCTGTTTCTATGTGTGTGTGATACGTTGTCATAGCTATGTGAACCTGTTTCTACGTGTGTTGTCATAGCTATGTGAACCTGTTTCTACGTGTGTTGTCATAGCTATGTGAACCTGTTTCTACGTGTGTTATGATACGTTGTCATAGCTATGTGAACCTGTTTCTATGTGTGTTGTGATACGTTGTCATAGCTATGTGAACCTGTTTATATATGTGTGTGATACGTTGTCATAGCTATGTGAACCTGTTTCTATGTGTGTGATACGTTGTCATAGCTATGTGAACCTGTTTCTATGTGCGTTGTGATACGTTGTCATAGCTATGTGAACCTGTTTCTATGTGTGTGATAGGTTGTCATAGTTATGTGAACCTGTTTCTATGTGTGTGGTACGCTGTCATAGCTATGTGAATCTGTTTCTGTGTGTGTGATACGTTGTCATAGCTATGTGAAACTGTTTCTACGTGTGTTGTGATACGTTGTCATAGCTATGTGAACCTGGTCTATGTGTGTTGTGATACGTTGTCATAGCAATGTGAACCTTTTTCTATGCGTGTGTTGTTATACGCTGTCATAGCTATGTGAACCTGTTTCTACGCGTGTTGGGATACGTAGCCATGCTTTTGTGAACCTGGTTTCTCGGGTTGTTTACAGTTGCCCACCTGTAGATTGCACTGTTCCCATGTGTTTTTTTCACCCTCACAGGTTCAAGATGTTAAAAGTGGCCCGTAGTTTTGGTTCAAAGTCCCAGCGACCAAAATTTCTTATTTCATCACACCACTTCTTCTGACGAACAAAACCCACTGGTAATAATGAGGCTGGGTATGTACCTTTCGGAGGGTTTATTTAATTTCTCTTCGTTTTTCTACTGTCTTCTTTTTTATAAATATATTTTAATGAAGTATGTGACAAGTGCCCGATTCGCCTGCTATGTTAAGCCTAAAAATACATATTTAAACGTATTTATTTTCAAATGTTAGATATGTATATATATGAACCTCTTCATATTTTCTGAATATATTTTAATGTAAAAACTCTTTAAACACCCTTGTTATTTATTAAGCATATAACACATATTATGACATAATTTATTTTTTTTTTGTAATTCTTCTTTTATCTTTTTTGTGTCGTACTTTCATATTTAATATTTCATCATGTATTTTTATCTTATCTTAACTTTTATGTGATCTATTAGTAGAAAGCATTAGTTCATGCAAAATCTGAACGTTTTACAAATGATTACAAGCACAGATTCCTTTATATTATATTATATTATATTATATTATATTATATTATATTATATTATATTATATTATATTATATTATATTATATTATATTATATTATATTATATTATATAAACTCAGTCCATAACAAATTGTCTCGTCGATACTCTCAAATATCTCAATAGCCGAATTTCTTCACTATTTCGTCAAAATATGTAACGTAATAGAGATCAAATGTTTATAAGAGAACACGGGACTATATAACGCCTTGTACATGTAGGATAACACGAGACTATATAATGCCTTGTACAAGTAGGACAACACGGGACTATATGACGCCTTGTACAAGTAGGACAACACGGGACTATATAACGCCTTGTACAAGTAGGACAACACGAGACTATATAACGCCTTGTACAAGTAGGACAACACGGGGCCATATAACGCCTTGTACAAGTAGGACAACACGGGGCCATATAACGCCTTGTACATGTAGGACAACACGAGACTATATAACGCCTTGTACAAGTAGGACAACACGGGGCCATATAACGCCTTGTACAAGTAGGACAACACGAGACTATATAATGCCTTGTACATGTAGGACAACACGGGACTAAATGACGCATTGTACAAGTAGGACAACACGGGACTATATAACGCCTTGTACATGTAGGACAACACGGGACTAAATGACGCCTTGTACAAGTAGGACAACACGGGACTATATAACGCCTTGTACATGTAGGACAACACGAGACTATATAATGCCGTGTACAAGTAGGACAACACGGGGCCATATAACGCCTTGTACATGTAGGACAACACGAGACTATATAATGCCGTGTACATGTAGGACAACACGGGGCCATATAACGCCTTGTACAAGTAGGACAACACGAGACTATATAATGCCTTGTACAAGTAGGACGACACCAAACTATATGACGCATTGTACAAGTAGGACAACACGGGACTATATAACGCCTTGTACATGTAGGACAACACGGGACTAAATGACGCCTTGTACAAGTAGGACAACACGGGACTATATAACGCCTTGTACATGTAGGACAACACGAGACTATATAATGCCGTGTACAAGTAGGACAACACGGGGCCATATAACGCCTTGTACAAGTAGGACAACACGAGACTATATAATGCCGTGTACAAGTAGGACGACACCAGACTATATGACGCATTGTACAAGTAGGACAACACGGGACTATATAACGCCTTGTACATGTAGGACAACACGGGACTATATAACGCCTTGTACAAGTAGGACAACACGGGGCCATATAACGCCTTGTACAAGTAGGACAACACGGGACTATATGACGCCTTGTACATGTAGGACAACACGGGACTGTATAACGCCTGGTACATGTAGGACAACACTGGACTATATGACGCCTGGTACAAGTAGGACAACACGGGACTATTAACGCCTGGTAACAGTTAGACAACACGGTACCATATGGCGCCTGGTACAAGTAAGACAACACGGGACCATATGGCGCCTGGTACAAGTAGGACAACACTGGACAATGTGACTCCGTACTACAATATGTGGATATCTCACTGAGCGAGTGATTAGCTCTTGTCTCTCGAGTCAATATTGTAGCAGATCTTGGCGACGTTAGGACGTCACCTCCCAATTGTAAATCCACAGTATTTATCCTAGATACATACGTATTATAAATGATGCAGGCTTCTCTAAATTCGTCAGGTGACAATAAACATTAAGATAATGTAACAGCCATATAGGGTGGAGTTAAGATAATGTAACAGCCATACAATGTGGAGTTAAGATAATGTAACAGCCAATATAGAGTGGAGTTAAGATAATGTAACAGCCATATAGGGTGGAGTTAAGATAATGTAACAGCCAATATAGGGTGGAGTTAAGATAATGTAACAGCCAATATAGGGTGGAGTTAAGATAATGTAACAGTCAATATAGGATGGAGCTAAGATATTGTACCAGTAAATACAATGTTAAGGTAAGATAATGTAACTGCCAATACATTGTGGAGGTAGAAAATACAATGTAACAGCTAGTATTGTGTGGAATTAGAAAATACAATGTAACAGCCACTATAGTGTGGAGTTAGAAAATACAATGTAACAGCCACTATAGTGTGGAATTAGAAAATACGATGTAACAGCCAGTATAGTGTGGGGTAAGTAAATACAATGTAACAGCCAGTATAGTGTGGAGTTAGAAAATACAATGTAACAGCCAGTATAGTGTGGAGTTAGACAATGTAACTTACTATCATGGTTTCAAACTTTCTGTCACGGTACATTAAATGCCCGGTATGCTGGCGGTTACGTTACAAAGGCATTTATAATTATGTAAATTTCCTCAATCATTCTGTGTGCAATTATACACGCGATCGATAACAACAATTACACGGTCAGTATCAACTTGATATTGTTGGAATATCATTTTGTTCAAACATACGTTCAATAGACGGTTACTATTTTATATATTTGTAACTTTGGACTAGCCCATTACATTACAACACCGATATTCTCTTTATAAGCCTATTCGTTTTGACAGAAATATGACTATATTCAGAGAACTTAGAGGTGAGAACAGGAAGCCAGTTCTCCGTCAGGTCTGTTTAATTTGTCCAGTATAAGTGATACAGGTCGTCGACAATTTTATGGCAAATCGAACTTCTTGTTCCGCTGAATACCAGTAAGATAGATACAAATGGCAGTTTTACGAGCAGTTTTCACTGTGCATGTATTTCTGAGGATTTGCTTGTGTAATTCAGGCCTAACAGCGTCCTCTCAATGCTGCCGTTATTTATGACAATATGCCAACATAAGTTATAATGTAGATTTTCTGGTCTGATGAGATATTGTCATCGTGTGCACAGAATCAGATTTTTGCACCTTTTGTTTGTGTGTATGTGTGTGTGTGTGTGTGTGTGTGTGTGTGTGTGTGTGTGTGTGTGTGTGTGTGTGTGTGTGTGTGTGTGTGTGTGTGTGTGTGTGTGTGTGTGTGTGTGTGTGTGTGTGTGTGTGTGTGTGTGTGTGTGTGTGTGTGTGTGTGTGTGTGTGTGTGGGTGTGGGTGGGTGGGTGGGTGGGTGGGTGTGAGTGTGTGGTTTTTTTTAACATCAGGACTGTTTAAACAAGTTTTTCATTGCACATTGTGATTGTCTTGGATGTCTTTTGTTTGTTTGTGTGTTTGTTTGTTTTTTTTATATATATATTATTTCATTAAACATTCTCTTAATATTGTCTCACCAACCACATTGGTTTGTATAATATATGCACAATATAACCATGACTGTATGTATTTACATAGGTAGAATAATTCCTTTACCTATCTCCAGAAAAACTCCCATATATTCTGCGTGAGAGTAAAACGCTCCGCGAGATTCGCGTGTTTAGATGCCGTGATGGACACTACTTCATACATCACGGTATGGGACTCCACTGTCGAGCTTACATTTATATGCAACAGCTTTATGAATGTTGAATAAAACATTTTTTTTATCGAAGCCAATACTATTAAGAATGTTTTAGCGTAACAGAAACTGGGATGTCAGTTATCGGTTTTCTCTTCTGTAAATAATTACATGTTGTAGAACTTAGAGAAAAATGGCGCTGGAACTTGTGCTACTACACACTCATGTCTATCTGAACTTGATATTAATTCAAGTTTAAGTTCAAAGTTCAAAATATTATATTTAATTGTCGAACACATTTTCATTATTCATAAAATCACATTACAACAGCATATGAGTCCGGGACAAACATGACTTTCTAGACATGTTATTTCATTATAAAATATGAAATATAAGATTCGTTAAAACCTTGTAATATTGGAATATTGTTTTTAAAATGCCGGTTCTACAACTGGTATGACGTATACGTGGAAATGAAATCATCACTACCGATAATAACTGTAGTTCATGGAAATCATCACTACCGATAGTAACTGTAGTTCATGGAAATTACTACCGAAAGTAACTGTAGTTCATGGAAATCATCACTACCGATAGTAACTGTAGTTCATGGAAATTACTACCGAAAGTAACTGTAGTTCATGGAAATCATCACTACCGATAGTAACTGTAGTTCATGGAAATTACTACCGAAAGTAACTGTAGTTCATGGAAATCATCACTACCGATAGTAACTGTAGTTCATGGAAATCATCACTACCGATAGTAACTGTAGTTCATGGAAATCATCACTACCGATAGTAACTGTAGTTCATGGAAATCATCACTACCGATAGTAACTGTAGTTCATGGAAATCATCACTACCGATAGTAACTGTAGTTCATGGAAATCATCACTACCGACAGTAACTGTAGTTCATGGAAATCATCACTACCGACAGTAACTGTAGTTCATGGAAATTATCACTACCGATAGTAACTGTAGTTCATGGAAATCATCACTACCGACAGTAACTGTAGTTCATGGAAATCATCACTACCGACAGTAACTGTAGTTCATGGAAATCATCACTACCGATAGTGACTGTAGTTCATGGAAATCATCACTACCGATAGTAACTGTAGTTCATGGAAATCATCACTACCGATAGTAACTGTAGTTCATGGAAATCATCACTACCGATAGTAACTGTAGTTCATGGAAATCATCACTACCGATAGTAACTGTAGTTCATGGAAATCATCACTACCGATAGTAACTGTAGTTCATGGAAATCATCACTACCGATAGTAACTGTAGTTCATGGAAATCATCACTACCGATAGTAACTGTAGTTCATGGAAATTACTACCGAAAGTAACTGTAGTTCATGGAAATTACTACCGAAAGTAACTGTAGTTCATGGAAATCATCACTACCGATAGTAACTGTAGTTCATGGAAATCATCACTATCGAGAGTAACTGTAGTTCATGGAAATCATCACTACCGATAGTAACTGTAGTTCATGGAAATCATCACTACCGATAGTAACTGTAGTTCATGGAAATCATCACTACCGATAGTAACTGTAGTTCATGGAAATTATCACTACCGATAGTAACTGTAGTTCATGGAAATCATCACTATCGAGAGTAACTGTAGTTCATGGAAATTACTACCGAAAGTAACTGTAGTTCATGGAAATCATCACTACCGACAGTAACTGTAGTTCATGGAAATCATCACTACCGATAGTGACTGTAGTTCATGGAAATCATCACTACCGATAGTAACTGTAGTTCATGGAAATCATCACTATCGAGAGTAACTGTAGTTCATGGAAATTACTACCGAAAGTAACTGTAGTTCATGGAAATCATCACTACCGACAGTAACTGTAGTTCATGGAAATCATCACTACCGATAGTAACTGTAGTTCATGGAAATCATCACTACCGATAGTAACTGTAGTTCATGGAAATCATCACTACCGATAGTAACTGTAGTTCATGGAAATTACTACCGAAAGTAACTGTAGTTCATGGAAATCATCACTACCGACAGTAACTGTAGTTCATGGAAATCATCACTACCGATAGTAACTGTAGTTCATGGAAATCATCACTACCGATAGTAACTGTAGTTCATGGAAATCATCACTACCGATAGTAACTGTAGTTCATGGAAATCATCACTACCGATAGTAACTGTAGTTCATGGAAATCATCACTACCGATAGTAACTGTAGTTCATGGAAATCATCACTACCGATAGTAACTGTAGTTCATGGAAATTACTACCGAAAGTAACTGTAGTTCATGGAAATTACTACCGAAAGTAACTGTAGTTCATGGAAATCATCACTACCGATAGTAACTGTAGTTCATGGAAATCATCACTATCGAGAGTAACTGTAGTTCATGGAAATCATCACTACCGATAGTAACTGTAGTTCATGGAAATCATCACTACCGATAGTAACTGTAGTTCATGGAAATCATCACTACCGATAGTAACTGTAGTTCATGGAAATTATCACTACCGATAGTAACTGTAGTTCATGGAAATCATCACTATCGAGAGTAACTGTAGTTCATGGAAATTACTACCGAAAGTAACTGTAGTTCATGGAAATCATCACTACCGACAGTAACTGTAGTTCATGGAAATCATCACTACCGATAGTGACTGTAGTTCATGGAAATCATCACTACCGATAGTAACTGTAGTTCATGGAAATCATCACTACCGATAGTAACTGTAGTTCATGGAAATCATCACTACCGATAGTAACTGTAGTTCATGGAAATCATCACTACCGATAGTAACTGTAGTTCATGGAAATCATCACTACCGATAGTAACTGTAGTTCATGGAAATCATCACTACCGATAGTAACTGTAGTTCATGGAAATCATCACTACCGACAGTAACTGTAGTTCATGGAAATCATCACTACCGACAGTTACTGATAATGTAGTTAGGTGTGATACGAGAACATAACAATCTCGAACGATAGTACATATAGTTTGTACTGGTTTACTACAAGCAAGTTTAAATCGATATGATCATTTCGTTATTGAAATATGTTACTGTGTTTAAGTTTAATAACTTTTAAATGAAGGAAAATAAATGTCATTTGATTTTCTTTACAGACAACTTAGTTGTCCCGACTCCATCAAAAACGGCTTCATGTTTGAGAGACAACCCTTTTGCCTCCCAAATGATGCATCTCCTCCGGGAAACTATTTCCTCGTATACGCAGGACCGGAAGTTAGCCATGGAGAATCAGAAACTGATTCGCCGAATTGGCAAAAGGGGCCGGGGCCGCTGTCAATTCAACAATCCTTGTGGTATATGCGTCACGAAGTCAGGTGAGTCCTTATAATCACTCACAACATCCTTCTTAGTAGCATACAAAGAATCAAAACGTCTTTTGGACCATAATTTAAGCTTGATTCATTTAGTTTCTAATGATAGCTGGGAATTTGGGATTGCTTTGTTTGTTTGTTTGTTTGTTTGTTTGTTTGTTTGTTTGAGTGTATAAAGTTTATACTAGGTTTACAATACATTAGAGCCCTTTGAAAATAAATAGAAATTCATCCTTGGTCTTACATAAAAAATCCAATATCACAGTCGATGCATGGAGTTTGAAACCACAACAGCAGACATGCTCCAGGCAGACAATTTGTATAGGTCACGTGGTCATTAGTGTACCAATATTACAGAGCGAGTAAGCAATCTCACAATGATTGTGTCTGCTTAGGATGTGCAAAGGGTCAAAGAGGCGGCTTAAAGAGAGGCTGTATTACTGCGAATAGGGGTTAAAGGGGAGGGGCGACTGTTACCCGCCAGGCCCGTGAAAATGAGATTACAAGAAATAAGCATACCTACAGGAAGATTACTGGGATGTGATAGTACTCAATAATTAGAAATATTGATTTTCTACAACAACATGTAGTAATGCGATAAATGTTGGGAGTGATTGAGGTAGCCCCTTATGACCACACAACATGGATGTATATTGTACATACCGGTATATGTTAAGGTTATCGAAGATGGTCTAATGCTCCCGGGAAATGCTTTCCTTTACAGGCGATATCGTTATAGCTGATACGGACAATCACCGGATACAGATTTTCACAAGCGAGGGGATCTTTAAATCAAATTTCGGGACCCGAGGATGCAAGGTGGACCAGATCAATTTTCCTATGTGTGTTGCCATGACAACAGACGGACATGTGGCCTTAACAGACAGTGTAAACGCATGCGTGAAGATATTTTCTCTCCAAGGTCAGCTAGTGCAGGTGATTGGGGACAACGAGATTTTTGATATCCCGTATGGCCTTGATATTTCTAAGGATGGCGACCTGGCGGTAACCGACATTTGTAAACATTGTGTGACGGTATTTCGAAAAGATGGCTCCGTCATTCATGGGTTTGGTGAGTACGGAAGCGATCACTATGAGTTTGATTACCCTTACTTCGTGTGCTTCGACAAAGAAAAACACATCATTGTATCCGATTCCGGAAACAGCTGCATCAAAATATTCTCATTTGAAGGAAGAGGTTTAAGAACTTTCAAACAAAACGATTTTAAACTCATGAATGAAAGTTTTGTGTCCTTACAGGGAATGTGTGTGGATGCAGACGGAAACATTCTTGTTATATGTAATTCGACTGTGTATCTGCTCGCGCGGAACGGGCGGTTATGGGAGGTTTTGACGTCCAAGGATGGACTAACCAATCCGCGTTGTCTGGCGTTTGCTGCTCCTGGACGATTAGTCCTTACAAACTGCGATAAAAAACACGAGATTTGTATCTATAAATACCATTATGATGATTATAAGTCGGTCAACTCGGTGCAGTTCTATGCAATTAATGTTTAAAGGTTATTTTATCATTGTGTTATTTACCATGGTTACGGGAGCGAGTGAGAGAGCGAGAGAGCGAGCGAGCTAGCGTGTTGGCGAATGTCTTCCAAATGACACAGTATCACTGGCCCCTACACCGGAACTACACGCTTCAGTGGTTGTCACTGAATAGATTTTGACCTACTTTACTTATATGGTCATTTTATCGATTGCGTTGATTCTAAATAGCCACGCCGAATTTTGTTCCGAACAAATGCATCCATGTGCAGACTCGGAGCAACAAAATGAACACTATTTAAGGAAACATTAGGATTGAAGAGACTAATGAACAAAGTTTATTCCGATCAAATTATTCTGAAAAGAACGTTGTCTTTGTAATGAAACAGGTATATACTTTTTTCAAAATGGCTACTCCTCCGGTGTATGGTCCAGTGAAGTCATCGTCGTCCGTACCCCTATGTAAAATGGACTCAACTATTCTACCGATCGGACAAGTCCATATTTTATCATAGAGGGTTAGAATGTCAATCAAACAAAAACATTTGATACAATTCGACTTACTACACATGTGCACGCGCTTTTGACCAGAACTGGTACACCATGGCTTACTATGCATTTAGTGATATTGTGAATAGTGCATGTAGTTAGTATTTGTTTAGTTCAATAGCAGTATGAGTGTGTGAATGATTGGTAAGCTTTTCAGTAGATCAGTGAAATACACTATTGACAAGGACTCAAGGTTATACCTGATTTGCTAAATAATTTAACAATAGCTAGGTCTATGTATCTTCTTTAATATTGGATATACAAATCACCGAACTCACTCTCAACGTAGTACAGAAACCACTACCGGTTACCGTATCTGTGTACATAACACAGAATTATATACTGGTTACCGTATCTGTCTACATAACACAGAAATCTATACCGGTTACCGTATCTGTCTACATAACATAGAAACCTATACCGATTACCGTATCTGTCTACATAACACAGAAATCTATACCGGTTACCGTATCTGTCTACATAACACAGAAATCTATACCGGTTACCGTATCTGTCTACATAACATAGAAACCTAAACCGATTACCGTATCTGTCTACATAACACAGAAATCTATACCGGTTACCGTATCTGTCTACATAACATAGAAACCTATACTGGTTACCGTATCTGTCTACATAACTTAGAAACCACTACCGGTTACCGTATCTGTCTATATAACACAGAAATCTATACCGGTTACCGTATCTGCCTACATAACACAGAAATCTATACCGGTTACCGTATCTGTCTACATAACATAGAAACCTATACCGGTTACTGTATCAGACTACTTAACATAAAAACCACTACCGGTTACCGTATCTGTCTATATAACACAGAAATCTATACTGCTTACCGTAACTGTGTACATAACATAGAAAGCAGTACCGGTTACCGTATCTGTCTACATAACATAGAACCCTTTACCGGTTACTGCATCAGACATCCTAACATAGAAACACATACCGGTTACTGTATCTGTCTACATAACATAGAAAGCTATACCAGTTACCGTATCTGTCTACATAACATAAAAACCAGTACCGGTTACTGTATTTTTCTACATAACATAGAAAACACTACCGGTTACCTTATCTGTCAACATAACATAGAAAGCTATACCGGTTACTGTATCTGTCTACATAACATAGAAACCTATACCGGTTACCGTATCATTCTACATAACATAGAAACCACTACCGGTTACCGTATCTGTCAACATAACATAGAAACATATACCGGTTACTGTATCTGTCTACATAACATAGAAACCAGTTCCGGTTACTGTATCTGTCTACATAATATAGAAACCAGTACCGGTTTCTGTATCAGACTTCCTAACATAGAAACCTATACCGGTTACTGTATCTGTCTACATAACATGGAAACACATACCGGTTACCGTATCTGTCTACATAACATAGAAAGCAGTACCGGTTACCATATCTGTCTACATAACATAGTATTTTTCTACATAACATAGAAAACACTACCGGTTACCTTATCTGTCAACATAACATAGAAAGCTATACCGGTTACTGTATCTGTCTACATAACATAGAAACCTATACCGGTTACCGTATCATTCTACATAACATAGAAACCACTACCGGTTACCGTATCTGTCAAAAGCAGTACCGGTTACTCTACATAATATAGAAACCAGTACCGGTTTCTGTATCTGTCTACATAACATAGAAAGCAGTACCGGTTACCGTATCTGTCTACATAACATAGAAAGCAGTACCGGTTACCGTATCTGTCTACATAACATAGAAAGCTATACCGGTTACCGTATCTGTCTACATAACATAGAAAGCTATACCGGTTACCGTATCTGTCTACATAACATAGAAAGCTATACCGGTTACCGTATCTGTCTACATAACATAGAAACCTATACCGGTTTCTGTATCAGACTTCCTAACATAGAAACCTCAACTTGCCATGGTCATCTCCCTTACAACACTCCTAATATCTGTCTGACATCTAACTACCAGGTCTCAGCCCACTCCTCTTTACATAAACATCGGTGTTATTAGAGGTTTGATAGACAAACACATCGAATTGTTAAACGTTGAGGACGTAGGTTCAGTAAAAAATGGTGCTCTTCTCGTTTTTTCAAAGACACTGAATTATACTTAGAATTCAGATTAAAACTCAAAGTCTGATTTCATCTTAAAGACCGTAAACCATGATATTAATTTCTCGAGAATGTTTGTCAAAGTCTAGGTTCATCTGTCGCCGTTAACATCGTCTTGAATAATCTGTATATATTATTGACTATCGCATGAACAGGTTAGAGTGGAGTTTGAAACAGTAGATGTTTGAATAGATTTTGTGTGGGAATAACAGAGAGAAGCGCGTAGCTCCATCATTGTTTTGTTTTTTTCTGCCGAATTCTTGAAGAATAAAAAAACACATTCGCACAAACAACGTATGATTACTATTTCTGCGACTGAAGGAAGTCGAAAACTATCGATTGACTGGCTTTTTTGTACCGGGTGACGTCAATGTGTAGGCGTAGGAGGCTCCACCAATCAACATGGCTGTAGCATCACAGTATTTGGTTTCAAAATCAGATCAAGACTAGAAGCGTGGGCGATTCTTTATGGTAATACAACTGTAGTATGCTCTCACGGAACATTGTCTTCGAACAAATATCACGATTGTTTCGATAAATTCAAAATTTGAATAGTCAAGAGATTTTGAGATATAAAGTATTTGTGATCTATGTTTAATATAAAAAAAACTTAAGCCGGTGGTGCAGGGAGCTCGCTTCCCAGCATGTACAACACGGATCAATACAAACGTTCATTCCGATGAGAAAGGGTACTCACAATTTCTGTTTGGAATCGACTTCCATATTGATCGATCTATACCATATATCTCCATTGTTTAAATACGTATACACACGACATTTGTCTCGTAAACAATTTTACAGACATATGATAATGACCCATCCGATAAATAATAAACTAGTTATTAGTTATTGTATACAGACCTCAGACAGGTGTCACAGTAATTACCTCTGACCTTCCAATCAACGTCAGACAGGTGTCACATCAATTACCTCTGACCATCCCATCAACGTCAGACACGTGTCACAGCAATTACCTCTGACCTTCCCATCAACGTCAGACACGTGTCACATCATTTACCTCTGACCTTCCCATCAACGTCAGACAGGAGTCACCACAATTAACTCTGACCTTCCCAGCAACGTCGGACAGGTATCACCACAATTAACTCTGACCTTCCCATCAACATCAGACACGTGTCACAACATTTACCTCTGACCTTTCCATCAACGTCGGACACGTGTCACAACATTTACCTCTGACCTTCAACTTCCCTTGAAAAACAGCCATTATATAAATCAAAAATACCTTCAAAAGAAAATGTCAGTCACCACAGAAAGTAACAAAATGTCAGTCACCACAGAAAGTAACAAAATGTCAGTCACCACAGAAAGTAACAAAATGTCAGTCACCACAGAAAGTAACAAAATGTCAGTCACCACAGAAAGTAACAAAATGTCAGTCACCACAGAAAGTAACAAAATGTCAGTCACCACAGAAAGTAACAAAATGTCAGTCACCACAGAAAGTAACAAAATGTCAGTCACCACAGAAAGTAACAAAATGTCAGTCACCACAGAAAGTAACAAAATGTCAGTCACTACAGCAACTCTCAATAATACGGGCACCGAATAAACTAACACATCCCAGAAATGAAAAAAAAATTCTCAATATGTCTATCACCACGGAAACAATATTTGATCACCATAGAAACTAACATAGTTTTGACCATAAGGCTTCAATCAATATTCCAGTCAAAACAGAAACCAAAGACATGTCAGTCTTCATAGAAACACCTCAATAAATAAATGAATATTGCGTCACCTGTATGTGTTACCATAGAGACCGTTACACCACAGCCAAACATAAAGCAGTAGGCGGTAACAATAGAAACTACCAAAACCATAGCAACAGTGTCATAACTGTTGTTTATTATCAGACACCAAACCGTTGTTCAGTACCAGACACCAAACAATGGTTCAGTATTAGATGACATCAAGTGTAAATAATTCAAAAAAATATTAACCCTAATAATATTGACCATGGTAAAGGTAGCATACCCCCACAATATGACATTCCAACCTTCTCTCCTAATACCCCTGATTCCTGTTTATTCTCTTTTGATAGGTATAAGCTGAAGCGTTGAAAAAATGGCGATATTTCAGAATGACTATTCAAAAGAAGAAAAAAAACCGTGACAAGAATTTTGAATAGTAACTGATGCCATGCTTACTAATTCTTGTTCGTGACGCACACTCCCACCTCGATACCAGTATCAGAACTTTAAGCTTCCCTTTGAAAAGTTGACTTAATGCATCTGTGTTTGGTATATTACCTATTGTCTGGGGTTTGTATGTAGTCAGGAGATCAACTTCACTGATCCGTAACATCCCGCTAACAAAGCGACAGTGATAGATGGATACAGTCGGTTAATTCCCATCAGATGACGCGTAATACTAGTGGCGTGTCAGGTGTGGTATCGCTTCCATATCAATGATAATATAATGTTAAATTAGCAAGAGAATAGCATTGGACCAGTTAAAAGTTTTGTCAGAGGGGCGGATGACAACTGGAACTAAACACGCACTCTGATACTATGTCAGTATGATATATTTAAGGTTTCACTCGAACTAAACGCGCAAACATCAGCAATCTGATACTATGTTAATGTGATCTAGTTAAGGTTTAACTCGATCTGACCACAAACTCCAGCACTCCGATACTCTGTAAGTGTGACCTAGTTAAGGTTTAACTAAATCTGATCACACAAACTCCAGCACTCCGATACTTTGTAAGTGTGACCTAGTTAAGGTTTAACTCGAACTGATCACACAAACTCTAGCACTCCGATACTCTGTAAGTGTGACCTAGTTAAGGTTTAACTCGAACTGATCACACAAACTCCAGCACTCCGATACTCTGTAAGTGTGACCTAGTTCAGGTTTAACTTGATCTGACCACACAAACTCCAGCACTCCGATACTTTGTAAGTGTGACCTAGTTAAGGTTTCACTAGGATTTATGCTGTATATGATTTTTTAATACGTTATAGTGTAGGATTTTCTATGAGATCCATGTCAAATATTTCGACCTGATTGAAAATTCTGTCAGCACTCGTTGAAACCAGTTTCTCACACATGTACTTGATCTTCACAACTAAAGCACCATACATTTCAACTCTGTGTTTGTTATTTGTTATGCATGGGTGAATTTTCGAAACATTAAACAAGAGATCTCATGCAGATGATACATTAGGATGTACGGGGAGGTAACTCCCATTCCCTTTTCATCGTTTGCAATTTCAATATTTTTATAGATGATCAAGCTGTATTATCTCCAATCATTTGTTATTATCAAAAGAACTATGGAAGCCCTAAATCAACCATTTTTCCAGTCTTCTGTCTCCAAGCGAAGCCTGTGCATCACAACTTATTGTTATTTTTACTGTAACAAATGTGTACCTGAAAGTGCGACACTTTCTGTTATTTTCACAATGAATCAGATGGCAGAATTGGGCTGAAACAAATGAGCACTGTGACGTCACGATAGACAGTTTAAAGGCCTAACATTGTTATTGATAATGCCAAGACAAACAATTTTCACAAATGATCACACCTACATATTGCAATGAAATTCCATTCGATTTATTACAGAAAGAAACATATTTAAATGACAGCCTCGTCTTATTCTACTAAGAAACATATTTAAATGGCACCCTCACCTTAATCTACACAGAAAAAATTTAATGACACCTCGTCTTATTCTACAAAGAAACACATTTAAGTGACACCCTCGTCTTATTCTACAGAGAAGCTGATTTAAATGACACCCTCGTCTTATTCTACAAAGAAACACATTTAAGTGACACCCTCGTCTTATTCTACAGAGAAGCTGATTTAAATGACACCCTCGTCTTATCCTACTAAGAAACACATTTAAGTGACACCCTCGTCTTATTCTACAGAGAAGCTTATTTAAATGACACCCTCGTCTTATTCTACTAAGAAAGACATTTAAGTGACACCTTCGTCTCATTCTATAGAGAAACAAATTTAAGTGACACCCTCGTCTTATCCTACTAAGAAACATATTTAAATGATACCCTTGTCTTATCCTACTAAGAAACAGATTTAAATGATACCCTTGTCTTATCCTACTAAGAAACATATTTAAATGACACCCTCGTCTTATCCTACTAAGAAATATATTTAAATGATACCCTCGTCTTATCCTACTAAGAAACATATTTAAATGACACCCTCGTCTTATCCTACTAAGAAACATATTTAAATGACACCCTCGTCTTATCCTACTAAGAAACATATTTAAATGACACCCTCGTCTTATCCTACTAAGAAACATATTTAAATGACACCCTCGTCTTATCCTACTAAGAAACATATTTAAATGATACCCTTGTCTTACCCGAGCGAGGATTATGCACTGTAATGGTCCAATCGGAAAAGGAAGAAAGCATTCAACACTGTTTATTAATATATATCACGTTTTATTTTCAAACTGAGAAACAAAATATACATTTAAATAGTACAAAACATCATCAACTATATAACTGGTAAATAAGATTTTATAATCATGAGTATATGCATGCATGCATAATAATGTATTTACCAAGCATTATGATAATGCAAACGTATGAGTTAGAGTGTATTTTAAGTAGTTGTGTATCAAAACTTTGAATTTGCTTTAAAACTGTTATTCAATGTTCTCAGTGTTTATACGTTTAAGAATATAGTACTACAGTAATATTGTTTGAAATGTATGTATTCTAGAAGAGACGGCTTGTGAAGGCATTGTCTGTTGCCCGATTTCCATTAAATCTTGTTTGGTTAAATAAAATATTTTGAGTTGAAAATCATATATAAAATAAAGCACATGTCGTTATGAACGAATATGGCAATGGTATCATTTCATTGGCATAAATAACTACAAACACACAGTCACATGCAAAATAAACACACATTAACATTAGTTTTCCTTCCTTGTTGAAATTCGACAAGGGAACAACTGATATGGAAAACACAACAAACAGGAGACACCCTGTGAAATGGAGACAACGAATCCCTACACACTATTGATAAAAAACTGAACTTTGAATAAGAATATATCCTCGACCCTCACATATGTCAGTAAATAATAGATATTACACGTGTGGGACGACACGTCGGTTATAGATGAAAATTGTCTGTCAGCTGATTGGCGAGATGATCAAGTTTCAGTTTCATTTCAGGTATTAATGAAGCTGACCTGAAGAAATTACGGTTTCGGAAATACTGGGTTTTATAAGAGAACCTTTAGTACCTTGACAGAGAGGACAATGACTAAACGTACAGGTAAACTAAGTGTCATCTAACCAAGCATCTGTTTTATTAACGGAAAAACACCGGTACTGGTAATTAATTAGTTTTACAGAAATTCTCAAACAAATATAAAAATATATCCAAGAAGCACCTTGGCACCCATATTTATCTAATTTAGTTTGTCTATAAAGCATGGATCTTTTCCCTACTTTCCCCTTCCTCTGGTTTAACTCATAATTATAAGAATTTTTTTTAATTCATCCTAAAATAATAACGATAACAATCTGTTACTATCAAATCCAAGATGGTCGTCTGTCAGCCATCTTGACTTTCTTATCATTCCAAAAATCAAAAGGACACAACTAGGGACCAATGAGGATCTAAACTGGAAAATTGGGAGGGATTCATCCAATAATAGAGTTAACAAACATTCAATGTCAAAATCTAAGATGGACACCTTTCGGCCATTTTGAATTTTTCTTATCAGTCCCAAGGTAAGAAAAAAGTACGTCTAAAGACCAATGGGAACCTGCTTATGAAATCAAAGAAAGATATATCCATTACATCTCAAGACATAGCAGTAAAAGCTAGCAATTTCAAAGTCCAAAATGACCAACTGTCCGCCATGATGCGATGTTATATATGATTCCTCGATGCTAAATGCTATATAACCAGGTGATATGGTTTTCCCACATGAAATAATAAACAACCAGGTAATACATGTATCAACCTCCTGAAAAAAAAAATTACCAAAGTTTATGATTCTCCACTGCAAGACCATATAAAAATATAAAACAAAGCGACATGATTCCCGAGTGCAATATGATATATCACCAAGTGATAGAATTCTCCAGTACAACATCATGGATGCTGAGAAATCCCAGATAAGTTCTTTCACTATGTGTTATTTAACAGATTAAGGAAATAATAATAGAATGGATGGTTATATTTTAAAAACGTATGTTCTCTCATTAGAAATCAAATAAATATGTCAGCCAAACAAAGATAAACAAACAAAAACAAACAAACAAAAAAACAGCATCTGAAGAAGAGCAGAAAATCTGAAGTAGAAGGATTTATATTAAGATCAAATGCAAATTAGTGTTATAATTGAGAAAAGACTGCAATATATTTTGTTGTGATTTTGAATATGAAATTTCATAAATTAACAGCTGATGATAATGCGAAATGGCAGAATTTTTGGTAGTAAAGGGGAGATAATCCAGAATCAGGTTGGTTTCTTCAACAATCTTCACAATTCTAGAAAAACAGAACTTATCCAATTTGAAAATTCCTAAGTTTTTCCAACATTAGATGAAATTAAATAAAACTGATAAAGGTAGCATTGAAAGAATTAAAATGTTTTCGAAATAGCAAAGACGTTTGGAAAATACGAAAAAGGTAGAGTTAATGATAAAATGGTTTTGGAGCAGATTAAAAATGTTTCAGCACTATGTAAGAATGTTTTTACGTAGATCGGTTAATTCTGAATATAAAACAGCTCCTGCAGCAATAGAACAAAGCTCTTCTTAATTTGATTTTGGAATCTCAAACCGGTTATCTAAAGTTAGATTCATTGGAAACAAAACTAGATTATCATAAAAAGCAAATTATGGAAGAAAAAAACGCTAATTATAGCTCTTCATTACTTCTAGACGGGTTTTGGTTTCGAGAATGGAATTTCTTTGGTTTAAGCATTGAAACCTTTTAAACTTGAGTTTCTCTAACAGAAATGATTTTTTTTCTTACTGATTTTAAATATTGTATCATTGGTCATTTGTCGCGTTTAATAGATATTTTATTCGTTATTGTGACTGATTATCCGATCGTAAGAACGAAGTGAGCGAGAGTTAGGATGAAGTTTTATAATATGGTGGGTAACGAATGTGCAATTTGTCTAGGAGCGAGTCCAGAAATAAAAATCATAGAGTTTAGAACAATTTATATGTTCATTTGGTATATGAAAGTATATATATGTAAGTCTATACGAGGGCAACGTCTGTTGATGCCAGAGGTGCGTTTCCCAGTAAACTGTTTAATTTTCCTTAAACCGATGAATGATATACATATTAGGTTGAATTATTATCTGTTCATGCTAGACGTGTGAAATTAGACTCAGGAATGTCAAAAATTTGTTTAACGTGTACGTATATGTAATTTAAACCATGGGCACTGTAAATGATGTGTGTGCATAATGAGATCCTTCCCTTATTAAGAAAAAAATGTAATGTTATACAGGTCTCAGTCAATAAAATGATTGTCCTGACAAATATATATATAGTTATAAAAATCAATTCAACAAAACATTCGTTGTGTTCAGCTGAAGTTTTTAGCAAGTTGTAGTCTGTAAATATTCTAAGTAACACATTCATTTCATTCCACAACATTAGTTAAGATCTAACCAAACGACATACTTTTGATGTAGAAGACAGTACATAAATCTAGCGATATAATTTCCAGCACAAAATATGTGACGGTTTGCCAGATACACGTTAGAATAATACGACCCACCAATACAATGTATAACTCCTCATAAAATTATACACCACCGACAAAGAGATAATTCTATCAAAAACAACATTTCTAGATAATGTAGGATTTATGTTAAGTGGCCCCAGATCCCAACATATATACCTGAGATACCAACGGGAAGACCAGATAAGCTAATACCTAACGAGGTATTCATGGTGAAGTAAAACCAACGTTTCCTGGCTGTGATTGGAATAGCATACATACACACACACCCTCATACAAACACCCTCACTCACACACACCCTCTCACACACACACACACACACACACACACACACACACACACACACACACACACACACACACACACACACACACACACACACACACACACACACACACACACACACACACACACACACACACACACACACACACACACACACACACTCACTCACCCTCACACACACCCTCTCACACACACACACCCTCACGCACGCACGCACACACACACACACACACACACGCGCACATAAAGTGATTTCATGTATAAACTACACCGGATTATAACGAGTTGATATTGATATGACTAAGTGGAATTGTACATATTAAAGAGCACTACTTCAGAAAACAAATTTAGAATTAGGTACTAAATATTATCATTTCTAAGTATAAATATTGTTGAGGATGAGACAACCGACAAGTCCATTTCTTGGGGATCCTGTATACATCCAGGTACATTTTATCAATAACCACATTCGGGACTGACACAGTGAATATAAACGCTATAAGACTAGATTGTGCGTAAGTATAATGTGTGTCCTAGATTTCGTATCACAAGAAGAAACATAATTATTCATCAACATTTGAGAATAGACTGTAATGACTCCGACTGTACCCTAAAACAGGCCATCACTAAGTCACTTATGTCCAATTTTTAAACTCTGTATTCAAAGAGTAATCAAACTAGGACTATCAAAGAAACGCCTTTGGGTGGATTTGATCTTATAAAATATCTCCTTAACACTGTAAAATGATAGGATCTCCTTAATACACAACTACGTAAACAGTAATCTCGATGAACTGTTATAAAAAGTTATCAGAAAGCTATATTAATGGTTTTAACACAGAGTAAGTCATTACAGTAGTACTTCATTGATTTAGAGACCGGTATGTTTTGAAGCCACTTCTCTAAGCTAATTATTCAGCTCATTACAGTTGTTATGAAATATAGATTATCTATTATATGGAATATTAAACGACTTCGGAAGACGTTAAAGAAATAGCACTTCAATTTAGAAGAAAGCACTTAACTAGACGCTGGAGACGTTGTATTACACTACAACCTACTGTTTGGATATATTTCATCAAAAGATGGCAACTCTCATCAGAATACAATTGTTTACACTCTTCACTCAACCTTGTAAATCAATTTCATTTGATGTCACCGCAAGAAGCAAAACCGAAATTGCTGTTTTCGGAACTGTTCAGCTTCTGGATCCAACACCACAAGATTGGCACGTAAAAGTCCTTTTAGCCGATCTCTGTGTCCAATTTTCTCTTGATGTAACGGAGGATTAACGTCTGTGCTCGCACCTGCCATTGTTTAAGTTTGGGGATGTCCACGGTGATATAGTCCTCCTTCAGTCGGTCCAATAACGTCACACACGCCACAGCACCTGTAAAACATAAGGTCTGTATCGTTCACCGACTTATCTCATATTCAGAAGGAACTATTACATTTCTGTCAGCTGGTATTTCCTCTAGTTTTGTGTTCGCTAAATCAAATGAAAACTCCGCTTCTTAACAGACATAACTCATTTTAAAAAAAAAGATTGCCGCAAAAATAATGAAAAATGTCTTAATGTTTCGGGAAAAATGAAGAATAATATGTGAAATGGAATTATTTCCTGTTAAACATATTCTGACGCCTGTATCAGAAAAAATGGTGCAGAAACATTTTCTATTATCAAACCTTTCAAAACATTATCACTAGGAAAATGCTTAATACTATTTTTAATTCTAAGAGGTGTACATCCTTATTGTGGGGATACCATACAGTACAAAGCTTTTTTAAAAAGTCTACAAGCACTCCTAGATGTTATTCATATACCTTTCAATTAACAAACGGACCGTCTTATTCGGGTTAACAGATGCCAGAAGTCTTACTTTGCTGTTGACAATATAATCATTCTTAGCATTAAATTATGTATTCAGAGAAACAGATTGTTGATACGTCTAAATGTCTAAGCTTTAGTCAACAAAGCACAACAATATACTGCAACATAAAGCAGTAACATGAAGTGGTAAAATTCACTCTCTGAAAGATAAAAATCAGAAACAGCTGGAGTGAATGGTAAAACTTTATCCTGCTAGATATCTAAACATTTTCACATGTTTATCCTTCTGATTATTAAGTAATCTTTAGCGAACAAAAACAGCCTTTCACATTTCCAATCCTTTTCTCTCATTTCCTCTATGAATAGAATTTCTATTTTATACATTTTAAGCTTTAAAGGTTGATAATGCTTAATATTTTTCTGCAAATATTCCCTCACATCTAATGATTAAAACAGACACCATCAAGGAAAGTCTCGTTCAATAACTTAAAGAGACATCGTCAAGGGAAGTCCCGTTTAATGACTTAAACAGACACCAACAAGGGAAGTCCCCTATTTAATGACTTAAACAGACACCGTATAGGGAAGTCCCAATTAATGACTAAAACAGACACCAAAAAGGGAAGTCCCATTTAATGACTTGAATATACACCAACATGGGAAGTCCCGTTTAATGACTTGAACAGACATCATCAAGGGAAGTCTCGTTTAATGACTTGAACAGACATCATATAAGGAAGTCCCGTTTAATGACTTAATGCCACAATGTATGCATGGAACTCCAGGATTCCATTATATCAAACATTTTACCTTTGATTCCAGCATGTCGGCACAACGCTAGGAAGCCCAGAGATTCCATTTCAATGTTACAGATATTGTTTGCCTTCAATGTTTGCATAAATGCCATCTTATCCTCTTCATTAAAGTCACAGAATGCGCCATCCAATCTGGCTTGACCTGTTAAATAGTTTGTGCATCACCATTACCGTGGTATAAAAAGTTATGATTCACTGTTAGTTATGCTTGTTCCTTAATATAGTCAATGTGACATAGCGCTAGTTTATATATAACTAACCAATGCATATAGTTCTTGGGGGTTAAATTGCATCAATTATGAATCTTGTATAAGTCAATATAATATACCAGGATTTGCAAATCCAATTCTTGCTATATTTTACTTCCCCACCCTCAGGAGATCTACATATCACATTTCTCCTCTTGTTCCATTGTAAAACACTCACACTCGTAGAAGTCTTCTGTACACAGAGTGGTCCCAATAACAGTGCGAAAATCATCGTCCTCACTCGCACATGCTTTCAATTCCCGGAGGAGTTCCTCGTTTACGATGGCTGGTCTCTCTACCTTCTTTCCCAGGATGAACTAAACGAGAAACACAAATCAAAATAAGTGCTTTCACAGAGACCAATTGCACAATGCTTCAAAGGATATGGGATACTATTTTTCATACTGTTTTATTATAAGCCATTATTGTCTCCGATTCAAGACTGCGATTATCATTCAACATCATTACGTCGTTTTAGTAGATAGAGGTTACACAACAAGTGGATAATACACATTGTATTTCTTTCACTTGACTTAGTTATTTTTAAATGTTACCAAAAACACGCGCTTTCGTAATTTTGAAAGATAAGAATAGACAATATCCTTTCTGATGTTTGTCATCGATTTGACATGCAAAGAACCCGACAAAGCTCACCATTTTGTAAAAGCTTGAAAATTCACCGTCTACTGCCTTTTCCGTGAGGACCACACTGCCCGGCTCCAGACCTGTAACATATCAGTCATCTCCCGAATGAAAACAGTTTTACAATTCGTGGAGAGTTCTGGAAAGTATTGCTATCTAATTGTTCCTCAATAGAGAGTTCTGGAGAGTATTACTTACCAATTGTACCCCTATATTGGCTGACTTTATCGAAGAACTTATCAAGACAGGCTACAAAGACCGTTTAACTCCACTTTTAGATAAATTGATGACGTATTGTCTGTGTAACAAGAAAATTTATAGACCACGTCAATCGTTTATATCAGACTTTGGAAATTAATGACATGACAGACTCTTCTACATCAGCAGTTTATCTCGATCATAAATGTTGGTTCCATTGTCGTATACCTTATTGTCATCTGAGAACTTGACATTACTTACCAAGATTTATATGTCGATGAAGCAGAATATGCTTACTCTTCCGCAACACCTGGTATTATACTGTTTGTACTTTTTAAGGAGTTGCCATGTAAATCTTTCTTTTGATTATATGTGCCCAAGTTTTATTGAATTTGAAATTGGATAATAATCGTGCTGACAAACTGGTATTTTCTTTTTTTTTTTTTTTTTATTTTTTGCTGATTTTTATTTTGAAGGTGACTAATTTCCTGAAGGTAGTTTTTTAGTCATAAATTAACACTTACCGATTCCTCCACATGTTCCTATCCTGAAAAACGTAACGTCACGACAATTGGCGTAGTGCATGAGTTTGACGATTTCATTGAACACGATTGAGAGGGAGGGGACTCCGATCCCGTGCTGTAACATAACAGTGGACAAAGATCGTAATACATTTGTTGGATAGAATTTATACCTGTTTACTGGAAGGTATGACTGAAGTGTATTTTTAAACAATTTGTTACATGTTAGTCTAGCGAGTGCTATAAAGTTCTATCAATGCCATTGGCGACCTTCTGCAGACTGTACAAAAGACAATCAAGACAGCAACACTTTTAATACAACTTTAGAGTTTGATACAGTAGAGCAAAATAATAAATTAAACTGCATCACACAGCCTTTCGTCTTTCGTGGAATCGTCAGTGATTCTAAGGGCTTTACGTGATCGACATAAAAAGAGAGTTCGTTTCCATATTAAATTTTAGACATCGAATTTTTCATAATTGGAAACTCTGTGCTATCATTCTTAATGAAGGAAATGGAACGATTTATTATAACTAGAGTAGGTTTGTAACAGTGATGGATGATGTAGGTAGTAGAATGATTTATTATAACTGGAGTAGAATTGTAACGGTGATGGATGAGGTAGGTAGTAGAATGATTTATCATAGCTGGAGTAGGTTTGAAACAGTGATGGGTGAGGTAGGTAGTAGAATGATTTATTATAATTGGAGTAGAGTTGTAATGGTGACGGGTGAGGTAGGTAGTATATAGGAAACTAGTAGATACTTGTGATAGGTAGGATGACCTGTACCGAGGGTACTTACGCTGACAGAAAGAACAGGTCCGGCCTTGTACACACAGTAGCGGTCAGTTCCAGCAGCGTAGTTCTGTGGACAGCGACCGTTAGTGTTGATGCCTAGTTCCTTGTTTATGTATTTCACGAATCCTTCCATACGAGACGGCTGGCCTCCGAAACAAACAAACTGCAAAATAAAAAAAAAAAACCTTTTAGAATTGTCATCACTTTCATACATATTGTAAATGTAAAATACAATTTCTGAGATAACGAATTGCGTTTGTAAGGAAAAGCATCCCTTATTTGTAATAAAGTAACTGGATGCATTTTTTTATAAACAGCAAGCTTATTTTTAATTTATTGAGAACAATTTGCTACTGCAGAAAAATGTGATGGACTTAACATCACATTATGGTCACTTCATTCCGAAAGATTGGTGACAACTCTGTACAAAACTATCATAAACCCAATTGAACGTAAGACTGGCGAAGATGCCATTCTTTCCAATAAAAGACAGTACTGCTGTTGGCTGTTTACATATTCCAATTCACTTATTACCGATTCCACAGTTCAACATTGCACTCCTTGCGCCGACGAAGTGAAATATAACCTAGTTAAAATATATAAACTCATCGCTCTGTAAAACCTCACCTTAACGTCTCCGAAGATGGCCTGAAGTTTGTCAATGTCCGAAGTATCCAGGGCAATGTGGTATAGATGATCTACACCGAGGGATTTGATATGGGGATTCCGCACCCTCACGGGTCTGTAATGAACAGAAACAGATAAATCAAACTTACAGAGATTAGTAATGGACCAAAGAACTTACATAAGACCCAAAGTTCAGAGACAGAGTAAGGAATTTCATCGACAGCAGACTGATATGATTACATGTAAGTGTTGAGACCTGGACACCACGAGGATACTGATGTGTTCATAATAAGCAAACAGAAATTAAATTTAAAACAATAACACGATGGGACACTTAACAGGTGAAATTTTGTCAATACAAGTTATGTGAAAATGCTTGAATGTAAGGCATTTGAGATAGGAAATTAACGAAAGTATGATAGACATTCTGGACGCTACATATGTGACCAATAGATAAACAATAACATCCCATCGTGCTACACGCCGAATATCAGTTCCCTGGGTCCTTTGTTTATCGGGATGAAGACCCTCAATTTTATCATATTTAGCCCCTGCAACCCTTAAAGTGGGTCAAGATAATTAATTATAATAAACTTGGTAGCCCTTTATCGTAGTATGCGATAGCACAATGGGCAAATGAGCTTAAAATGTATGTCTAGAGTACTGAGGTAATGAGACGATGATCGTGATAGACAGACGCCAACAAAAAAAGCGAAAGGAAGATTTGCTCGATAAATTTATAAAGTATGTAGAGCGAGACGACCTTTCTGTAGTGAATGCAGAGATTTGTGAATTTCTGCGAGTAAATACTTTGAAACAATGCAATTACTAACACATGATCAAAATCAAGCGGGGAAAAAATCTTAACAAAGAAGGCAGATAAATGTGTAGAAGTATGAAAGTCTGAAATCTCCGGATATGGATAGAGGCATTGTGGTTACATGAACACGTGGGGATAAAACACAGACGGAAGAGACACAACTTAGGTCAAGTACACCAATGGCTTCGGCTTTGTTTGTTAAATGTGTGTGGTTTAGAAATGTTGAGATAAATATTTGTAATCATGTTATTGACATTCTACTTTCCCTTAATGAAACTTGTGTCAATCATGGTAAAGGTTCTGAGACTAAATTTTAATGTACCTGATATCCTATAGATATAGTATAAATAAAATCTAAACATTGGTGTATCATTATATCTGAATCACAAACAGAAGTAAACAACAGTTATTTGCTATTTAGTTACAAATAAAAAGTTGATAATTCCAGTAAGTGTTTACTTCAAAGTTGGCTGAACAGAAATTTGGAAGAAATCTTCAAAAAGACAGCTCATCAATTCCATTATAGAGAAACTACATCAAAATTTTGTTTCATTCAGCAAGATTTTGCGGCGGAGGAAGGCTTTATAAACTAACGAAATATAACGTGATCATGTCAAATTGGGTTTAGTTATCTCATATCACGTGACCATGTTAGATAAAGTATTGGGTAAAGTGATCTAGTAAGAAGGTAATCCGATTTATAATAAAGCTCAACTTGATTAAAATCACATAAGAAAATAGTCTAGTAGTTGCTCTCTTTTATAGAAGAACTGATGTTTAATCAGTTGAAAACCCTCCCGCCGACTCCTGTCATTCACAGAACGGATGATGTAGACATTGACGACCCCTGTAAAGGTATCTTTATCTTAGATGTTTTGGGTTACCTACAACTGTCACGCCTAAGGTATGAGATCTAAGCGGTTTGACAGCGCGCAATATTCCTTTATAAGTATAAAGTATATGTTCAACGAATCTTTCCAGTTGTATTTCTGAAAATTTGCCTAATTATCCGTTGGGGTCTAAAAGGATGCTTTGATTTTGCCAAGGTCGAAATATATTGGTTGTCTACTAGTCAATTGTGACAGCTGGACTTTGGTGTGAAAAAATATTGCACTGTCATTTGTATACAAAAGGAGTTGAAGTTTCTATACTGATGTTTATATCGTTGAAGTGAACTAAGAAGAGAGATGAACCCGTTATATTACCTTTGGGGATCCTACTTTGGATATTTTCCAGTGAGGAACTGACCTCGTTTACCTCATTTTTCTAAGCGTTCATATCCTTGGCGCTTTTTTTTTTTTTTTTTATAATTTTCTTCACTTATCATACTTGTTTCACTAGTTTCTTAACCCTACTTGACAAAATTGTTTACAACTTTCAGGAGATTTAGTTCTCTTCAAACAGGAAACATTGGAATCTTTTTTCCTGTAAGATCTAAAATTGGTGTGTGAGGTAATCCAAGGTTCAGATCGCCGTTTAAAGTTGTTTTATCATTATGGCAATAAAAATGCAAGTATAATCCAGACAAAACACTTGATCTGACAAAACAATATCATTCCCGAAAGCAAGACATGCTCCTCTGGTCTGGCTTAATGTGTGCTTACCTCCGCTTCTGACCGATCGGCTTTTCGTGTCACTAAATGAAAAACCTTCTCAAATGCTAATACCGTAGGATTGCATTAAGCATTAGCTTTATCTTTTTTAATCCTTTGGCCTACGTCAAATTTCATTTTATCAATGCGTGTTCAATTCCAAAACTGCTTCCCCATAGCAACCATAAAAAATATTACTCTCGAAAGTTGCTAGTTATAAAAAAAATCAAAACGCTTATTTCCTTTTCATTGAAAATGAAAACAAAAACGATAAATGTTTGATTTTAGCATACTTCATTGTAATGAATAAATCGCGTTAAGGAACCATACAGTTTCGTTATTGTTTGGTGATGAAGATCGCTGGCAGCCGTATGTGTGCACACATTAGACAGAATTTCCTACCTTACGACAACTTCCTCCGCTAGATTGCACTCGTTGTTTGAAAAAACAACCAGCGCAGTCTAGCAGACAAATCCAGCAGCTAATCCGGTCTAATGTACATAACTTTAGAAATTAACGCTCCATTGCAGCGCATAGTCGAAAGCAATCTCCACTGTTGATTCTGTAGGGTATCGCAATGCATTGTGGAAGAAAATGTGTGCAAACGTATAGACTGGGTGGTCGGCTGTAGTTCAACGAAAACAAAATAGCAGGGAAACGTTTCCCAAATGCAGATAACCTAGTATAAAGCTTTTAGAGTTTAGACCATTCAGTTTTACAGTACAGTGCAGTACAGTATAGTTTAATTTCAAGTAAGAAAATGTTAATCTGGACAGTGTGGCTTTTTGTTATGTGTTTTGTATTTTGGTGATAAATATAATAATACTTGAGACGTGCACCTGCAGCTGCAATATACACATTTGTGTTAGAGTTATGGTTTTTTTAATGGGGATACTTAACCTACATTTTTTAATATGGAGGGGCTATATCTTTTTATATCATTCTTTTACTAGAAACCGCGCATTGATAAGTTGTGAGTCTCGTATTTAAGGATCTGACTTTTGACGGGTATATTGCATTTTTTTCAACATAATCCTCTTCAGTATCTATACGCTTTTGCCAGTGATGGTTAAGGGCTTCAATGCCACTTGACCGTTCAGAAAGTTTTCCACGGCATGAATGACGTCATCATCTGACCGAAAGTTGCTTCAAGAAACGGCCTTTTTCAATTTTGGAAATAGATGATTGTCTGATTGAGCGAGATCAGGCGAATAAGGCGGATGCTCAATCAATTTAAATCCACAATCGTAAACTGAATGTAGCCATGACAATTTTTTCTGCCTAAGAAGTGTTGCATAGTATGTGCCATTGATTGTTTGTCCCTTTGGGGTGAAATGATGAACCAACTTTTCATCCATAGTCACAAACCACTGTAGAAAGTTAGTAGGATCTGCCTCTAATAGGTTCAGATTAGTACGCGACAAAGTCCGCCTGGTGTGCTTCTGATCAACTCTCAGAAGTCTTGTTCCCAACAGGCTGAGAGCTTTCTCATTGCAGGATCCTTCATAAGAATTGAGTATAATCTTTCCTGTGAAATCCCAACTGTACTGGTTATATATCTCCCTGTAACTCGCCTGTCAGCCATAACAATATCATGGGTTTTGTTGGCATTTCTGGGTTAGCAACAGGCCTTCCAGTACTGGCGTCATCCCCAAGGCTCTGTCATGCTTAAATTCCGCCACCCACCTATTCACAGTAGCTTATGAATGGACAGCATTCTCTAGGGTTGATAACATATTAGTATAGATATCCTTAGGTACTAGACCTTTCTTATGCAACTATTGAATCACTGATCTTTCAGCTATTTTTTTTCCTTTTTGCAAAATTCACTTGCCTTGTTTACTTAAAATTGCTACCTCTTCCACATAAACTGGCCAGTCTTTGGATAGACACAGCTTTAAATAGTCCGGGAATAGTAGAGCTGGAAAAAGCATCCCTGCTTAACTTCTTCAATTCATGGCTCACAACTTATCAATCAGCCCTCGTATTTCATCCTATACATGTGGCGGCCATGACGAACATGTGGCTAATGCCCGAGGTATGTTACCCAAAGACAAAACCTATTGGATTCACTTTCTCGTTTGAAACTTGACACTCAAATCAAATGTTAGATGAATAATATCAACAATCTTACTAGGGGACGCATTCGCCGTAAATCACGATTTTGATTCTGCTGTTTGTGCTTGTGTTCAGAAATATATTGCGTCTACCAGTAAATCTGAAAATCTAGTAATTTACCCCAGAATTTATAAATGTATATATCTATGTATGTATATCCATTTAACATGTCTGTTACTCTGGATTCTCAACGACTGCATATGGCTAGTGGCGTGTAAGGTCGCGGTTATAAATACAGGGGTGGGGGTAGTGATGGGGGACCAGTTGGTATAGTAATGTGCACTTGTATATGTATGCACACATGGTTCTCCATTTGAAACAATGTATATACATATAACGATGTACATGTATTTCTACAATATCTGTTTACTTCAACAGTTTGTAAGTTTTTGGTCCAGTCTGTATTCGGGGATAGATGGAGATTATTAACACATCAACAGACCTTCAGATAATGCCAGACATGTTGCACAGGTCAGTTATGTGATATATGTCATAATGTGCATGCGTGTCTGCACGCATGCGTATCAGGTAATCTTTCAATAACTTGGTTAAGGACACAGTGATGTGTTAATGAATTTTCACTCCTGTTTAGAAATTGATAAAAAAAATGAGAGTACTACGGAACTAATGAAATTAATTTTTTTACTGTATGAGATTTTAGATGATTCATTTCAAAGACGAAAAGAGACGTCCATTTAAGTATATGATGTAGATGTAAGGAGTATCTATACACTAACACCTGTCACGTGTGGCACTGTCAACAAAGCACTTTAAAAAACGAGTATCTATAACTATTCAATATGTGTCTGATAGATCTACAATCGTCCAGTCTGTAGATTTATGGCTTAATTGATTTATATTCTCGTATTCTTATATATTTACAAGATAAATAAAACAACCTAACCTATTCTTATCTATAAGCCGTTCCCAAATTTATATCAACCACGATAGAATCGCACGACAGTGCGACAGATCCCACAACTGCGCGTATTCCTTTTGAGAGGCCGTTTAAAGACATTATCTGTTGTCCAAGTCCCGTTCAATCTTTCTTATTTAATGAAATACTTTGAAAAGTCAAATGTCATTTAACGTATTTGGCAGTTACCAGAAATGCAGCAGAAATGCAGCCGACATGCGTAACTGTGTATAATACATTGACCTCTGTAAGAGTTTCCGCCTCAGCTGTATGAAACCATTACTAAGACACACGATATGATACCCAGGATACCCAGTAAGACTGAATCATGGTGGATAAATACTATCATCTCCCAGTAATTGAAACTGCTATTGATATATACTGAGACTCTCTGAGGCCCGGAGTCTCCTCATCTGTGCCCCATCCCACACTTTAACTAGAGGCCCAGATGGCCTGTATCGCTCACCTGGATCTTATGACCAACATTACTATATCTGTGCATATGTTCCACGTTTAACACATTTGACCCATGTGACCTTGACTATGGGTCAAGGTCATTTCTTTTACTTTCTTGGACTTCATAAAAGAAACATACTGGCCAAATATAATGATTCTAAGCTTTCCGATATTTCAGAACAAATTGTTTAAACGTTTAAACACATTTGACTCCTGTGACCTTGAAGATTGGACAAGGTCATTTCTTTTAGCAAACTTTGTAAGACACCATAAGAGGAACATAGTAGCCTAAAATAATGATTCTAAGCCTTCCGGTATTTTGAAAGAAGTCGCTTAAAATTTGACCTCTGAGACCTTGAATATGGGTCAAGGTTATGTTTTTTCGCAAACTTTGTTGGGCTTCATAAAAAGAACTATCCAGCCAAATATAATGATTCTAGGACTTCCAGTATTTTGAAAGAAGTTGTTAAAATGTTTTAACACATTTGACCTCAGTTACCTTGAATATGTGTCAAGGTAATTTCATTTTGCAATCTTTGTTGGGCTTCATCATAGGAACGTTCCAGCCAAATATAATGATTCTATGCCTTCTGGTATTTTGGAAGAAGTCGTTTAAAGGTTTTAACACATTTGACCTCTGTGACATTGAATATGGGTCAACGTAATTTCTTTTTGCAAACCTTGTTTGGCTTCATCAAAGGGACCTTCCAGTCAAATATGATAAATCTTCGCCTTTCGGTATTTCAGAAGAAGTTGTATAAATGAAAAATTGACGGACCCCGGACGGACGGACGACGGACGCCACGTTATGGTATAAGCTCACTTGGCCCTTTGGGCCAGATGAGCTAAAATTTGGGCTGGGGGGGGGGGGTTAGTGGAATGTCTGGTGCTATAGCTTATTACATTTATATATATTTCTCTTCTCTCTCAACATAATCAAACCAACCGACAGCAATTCCACATAGTTTGCAAGTTTTATTTACAAAGGTACTGGTCCCTCATCCATCGGAAATATAAGCCTCCTCCTTCCCCTCCTCCTTCCCCTCCTCTTCTGGTCCGCTCCCTATTTATTCCTTTTCACTAGTTATAATTTCCTATTATTCCGCCCCAACTCCACCTAAATGCCAAAGTCACGCTTAAATACGCATTCGGCTAAAAGTCTGAAAAAAAACTAGACGTAAAAGTACATTCCCAATCACCCAATAACTCTTCTTAGTCTCTTAACTAATTTATGATCACAATGCACTCTCGTGAAAACAATTGAATATGGAAAAGTTTTTCATAAAGAATGGTTCGGGTGCCTGGTGTTGGACTCATAAACGATAGCATGAGGACTCTTATCTATTAACATCTGATGCAGAATATGAGGAATTCCAACACGCATAACAAGGAGCTCTGTGTGTGTTGATGAGAAAGCACGGTATGTTTCCATTGGTCAGACTTATGTTTACGACAATCTTACGCCGCGGAGTCGATTTCTATACTATAGTATTAAGCCATAGAAACACCAGAACAGTCGATTCCATTCCTCTTCCAATCCTTTTTTCCACTTTCTACTCTCAATCTCTGTTTTTTCAGATCTTACTCACTTTCCTATCGTTTCTCATCTACCTGCTGGAATACCGAAAGGCCATAGTAGGTGTAAAAAACCTGCATCAAAGGGCGGGATTTTCAAAATGGCTGATGTAATACATGGATTCATTGTCTATTTTTGCTTCCGTTGGCTGAAGATTGGAATTGAACTTCATGCGACCTCACTTCAATCGTAAAAGGTTTACGACTTTCCATACGTCCGTGGAGAGAACCAAATTGGCAATCACTAAAAGGTGTCCGTCCGCAGATTCCTGTCTCGCCATATCCAACATGTCAATCTTCTCTAACAGCAATTATTCAGAAATCTCAGGTTTCATTATGTCATATTGCTATGTGAAACTGCTATGCGTTCTTCAAGTCGACCTTTCGTAACTGTAACTAACAGACGCCGATTATTGTTTCCGTGTAGTTCCGGGTGTGATATATTGTTCACTTCGGTTACGCGTTCAGATAACCAACTCAGATCAAATTTATCAACTCGGATTCTGATAAAAAAAAGTGTTAGCCGTGCCCCTGATGATATAAACATGAATGGATCAAAGAAACGCCGCTTGTCAACAAGTCCGCGACATATTCTGATAACATATCCATGCGGATTTGGGACTTGTTGATATTTTTGTTTGAGGAGAGTGGGGGAACGGGACTGGGTTAACAGGATCATGTTTTGCTTGTTGTGATTGGCTCGCCCGGTGATAAGCCCTGGTATGCTGACCTGCTTTTGCTTCCACGTAGAACGACCTTGTAATTTAATCACTTAAATATGTATACACATACATCTATACACGTACGCCAAGAGTTGCAGCCTCCCAAGATTGATAGGGGCAACCAAAGGGTTATTCCGAAGGGTTCTGAATTTCTTTGATTTACAAGTCAAAAAATATAATCGCAGATGTACAGTCAGAATCTTTTGAACATTCTTATATGTGGAACATGACAAAATCGGTTAATCAAAAAGGCGACGACGAATAATTCTTCGCAATATTGTAAAGTCAAAATGTGTTCCAGCAGATGCCGATGGTTGTGTTGATGATGCTGATGACGTTATCAACACCATGTCGGGGGTGTGACGCATCCGTACATCTCATTGGCTACTATTTTCAATTTTTCTACGGGGTTCCCATATGGGTGATTTTTTTTAGCAAACTTTTTAATTTTTTAAACGCTAATTCAACGATCTTTATTTTTCGTCTGAGAAAGGCGAATAGTAATTATCATTGTAAAGTTTCCACATGTAATAAATGTTGTTCCTATTTTGTTAATGAACAACATTTCTAAAACTCATTCGTAACTGTATGACCTATTTATACCCAAATTTCAGTACTATGCGATCACCTTTGACCTAAGCTTTGTTGAATGAAGAAGAATGTAAACAAGACCAAGTCAGCCTTTAATCAGACCCAAACTTTCCTCTTAATTCGTATGTAGGACATCGATGGAGGGCCTCTGTTTATGGATAATCACAGATAAATTTGTTAGTTTCTGCTGGTTAAAAAGATATTTCGCCAAAGCTGGAAAAAAATCTGGCGGTTCTGTACCTTTTAAGAGCTCATTAGTATGCATCAGAATTGCTACCACGAATGTTATAACGTATCAGCTTATCTTGTATGTCGATTATAATTTGGAAATTAAATTGAATTTAGTTCCATCACCTGTGCCAGGTCTAGTGCCCAAATAGTTTCATCTTGTAGTTAAAAACATACTAGACCGTAACGATGACTTCGTCACGTACTAGGATCACAGGATCATCACATGCAGAGAAGTGTTTAATTTAGTTCGTGGTCAAACTTACCACACACTTATAAAGTCTGTATAGCATCGTCATCCAAAAACAAAAGAATTCTCGCGTACATGACGATGCATTTTGACAGAGATATTTTATATACCCTAATATTAGTTTTGATATTTTAAATTTAGTTTGTATATCTTAATATCTTCAGGTGATCATTCACATAATCTAGTACCTGTACTGATATCAGGAACGTTTTAATATATACTTGACGTCCTGGCAACGAAAAAGACTTTGCTACACAAAATGTGGTGATTTTAAGTACACCAACAAGGTCCATGTTTACACCTGTATTACAGTGCACTAATAAATCGTAAAGTTAAAGAAATGAATCGAGGCAATTGAAAAAAATAACAAAACATTTATACGTACCCGTTATCATGAACTGTGTCCATGCTTCTCGCCGACCAGCACTGTCCAAACCAGTCCCGTGACAAGTGTTATTATGTTCACTAGCTGTATATAAGGTTCTTGGTAATTTACACACACAACGATTCCAAGTCGTGGGGCCCCACATGGGGTTTTGTATGCTATCAATTATTGACAAGAAATTACTAGTTAAGTATTATCTTTTTTTATTCAGATGTCTGGCGATTTAAGGAAAAGAAAAACGCACTTCACACACTATAACCTTTTCAAACTTTCTAGATATGTACTGTTAAATTAATGTTATTAATTTAGGTTGTTTTGTGACGTCATTTGCATTCAGCCAGCCAATCACATGGCTTGATAGAACACACCCATCGAAGGCGCAATATATGGAAACCATCCTCTAGACGTTTGCTTCGATATCAAAAGAAGATAAGGTACTAATTTTTCAGGTTAGCAAAACAACCCAACAATATCTTTGGTAATAAAACTATAAAAGTTAAGATAATTTGTAAACCTAGTATTTAACATTTACGCCTGATAACTCACGTCGTTTTGTCGTCCATCCTGTTTGTTTATATACTCGGAACATAGTTACGTAATTGAAAGTGTTCCGAATATAATTTAAGCGCAAATTGTGCACGTGTAACTTGCCGCATATGCAGCGATTGAGGACATACCACGACGCGCATGCGCAGATTTTTCGCTGCAAGTGAACGGTTTTTTTACTATAGATTACATAGCGGCATTTCAGAAAAATATTGATATATTATTTTGTAGATAAAAATTCTAAAACGTATGCCTCTGATTAGTAAAATTAATAAAAAAAATTTCGTCACAAAGATATATAACTTTTATAAGTTTTAGATGAAAATTAGTTGTGTAATTTTTTTGTTGAAACTTGCACGTGAATCTTTTTCATAGTCTTATCAAATCTTTAACTAAACGATTATTTTGACAACTTCATTATGAAACAAAAGCAATTTTACGAAGAAATCCCCGAATGTATGCCTCTGGCTATCAAGTGTAGTAACTTTCCAACACATTAATGTAACTTTGACAAACTTCAATAAAAATTAGTTGTGTCATTTTTTTGGTGAAAATGGTACATGATTTAAGTTCACGGAAAATGTTTAAGTCCCATCACAGGCAAACATGGCATCAATGTACGTATTTCGACGAGTCTACTAAATAGTTCTATTGTTTTCTGTTTAAAATACATTTGATATCTTCAAAATAAAAGCTTTCATACGTAATTAAGGAAACGACTGATAACTAAAACATAGTCCCCAACATGTGAATATCTACAATCACTGGAGTTTATTTTAATGTCTCTGTTATTATTTTTTATTCGTTTATTTATCTATAAATTTATCACTCTACACATTCCGTTCGTATGTACATAATGAAACTGGAAAGGCATGTGCACAGTTTACGACAGGCATTTGTAACCATTGGTGTGAATATAAACTGACCGATTCGCTTATAGTAAATAAAACGATAAAGACAAAGCATGAAAGTATTACTGAAGCTGTGTACAAAGTAGATACTATGTTGACGTTCATACGTACATGTACAATTATTTTTAATAGGAAGTGTGCAGACATGATCATAACAAAGACATTTATTCTTGATTTCGTTTTATCATGGTTCAGAATGTTTTAATATACTTTCGGGAATTTTAAAGAGGTAGGACGAGACGTCCATATCATACAATACTATATATAGGCGCTATGGGATTATTTTTTTTTTCTGGGAAATAGTGAACTTCTCTCTTTCTAGCTGTGATTCGTTATAGGTAATAATGTAGGGTCAACAGTTAGCCAAAGGATATAAATATTAGATTGGATAGTCGGGTGGTGGAGCGGTAACACACTCGCATTTCACCTTGGCGGCCGGGGTTCGATTACAGGCACGGACGTGAAAAGGTATGAAGTCACCTTTCTGACCATGTGGGTTTTCCCCGAGAACTCCGAATTCCTCCCACAGTAAGTCCCCTCTTGCGCTGCCGTCCGGTGCTACAAGAGTGATTAATATAAGCTTAAAGCTTGTTTCACAATGGTTGTAACATAAATAAAGTTGATATATTTAATATTAGATTAGAAGGCAGAAATGTCGGCTTCTGGTGATACATGTTTGCTGTTTAAGCCCCTTCACACATGACAAAGACCATGAAGATCGCCCTGCGTCCTGAAGATTTCAGAAAACGCACCGAGGACTTGGACAAAATTGACAAATATGCAATTTTCATGTTTGTATTACGATCTTGTTATGTCACTGACAGGTTCTTACTGCGTCTAACACGCTCCTATTAATTCCTGGCTACGCGCACGGTCTAGCGTTCACTACGTCTTATTCGTTCCAATTACGATATATAAGACTTTTCCTCGCCTGCACTGCGTACCTATCACGCTCTTTCATTCCTCCTGATGAAAGAGGTCAAGTCAACATTGGATAACCAACATAAGTGTTGGCTGTCTTCTATTCCTTTTTTGTCTTCTTCTTATCATCCAAATTGCAGCTTGTGCGTCAAGAAAAACCTGTTGTCATTGAATCAGACCAAAAGTCTTGATTCTGCTTTGCCGTTTTCCCCTGGTGGTTGCAGCGACGTGAATCCAGTTTTTAAAGCCGATTCTCTGAACGCCACATAGACGCATTGGAAACCTGCTGCGGACGAGTCATTAACGCAGTAAGCGCTGACAGAACGTACCGACTACTTAATGCGGTTTTCTACAACGTGGCACAAAAGCGCAGGAAGGTCGTAGTGAGAAGTGTATGGACATAGCAAAAACCCTGTTTGGTTTTCGTTACGTCATTACAGCGCCAATAAAATTGCTACTATGTTCTTATTAGGTTCTCAATGCGTTCTGATTTGACCACGTCCTCGCAACGTAACTTTTGAACATATTCAAAATTCATCCACTACCTCAACGTTCATGATGACCATACCAATTCCTTGTCCAATCCCCTTGCGTTATTCTTACTGCGTTCTCACTACGTCCCGGAAAAAATTGTCATGACGTGGTTGGACACAGCGAGAACATGGCAGTGTTAGACCTTGAGCCAGTTATTTCCGCATGGCACATGTAGTGTTGTTAGTGAGAGTTGTATATTTAAATGTGTTGACAATAACGTTCATTACTATTTACACTTGTTTACGTAATAAGATATATTGAATTTTACATCTCGCAGTCTGTTCTCATTTGCCATACTTCATATTTACTCAAATAATAGGACACTAATGGAGCCGAGATCCACGAACATGTGTCTATTTTCGTAATGTAGAAACCGCCTCTTTTACAAAATAAAGAATGTGAATTCGACGACATATGATACAAACATCCCCAGCCCAAAAGTACTGACCGGCTTAAATCGAGAATATTGTGGTGGAGTCTCCATGAAACCCTGGGATTTCCATAACTTGAATCAAAGCAGTTACACATTAGCTGCTGCATTGGTCGTTTTACTTCTAGTAAGCTTTGTAACGAAGTCTAATTCTATGTGATGGAATGTCGCATCAATTACCCAGAATCCTAATGATTTAATCATATTTATAGGAACACCCAGCCAAGAGGCTCCTCCCCGCCGGAAAGAATTGCTTTTATTGTTAATAAGGAAAGGTGGACCTACGGTTCTAACAATGTTTGTAGAGCACGTGCCGGGTACAACGTACTTCTTGACGTTATACAGGCCAGTTGAACTTATATTTTTTTAGTTTAAACTAGTTTAGGGTAAAATATTTAAAATGGATTAGGTATAAGTTATTGCAATTTCTTAACGCTCTTTACATGATATTTTGACATACAAATGCGATTCAACTATAAGAAATATGTGTCTTGGATTAACAAAAGCACAAATTCTGCTACTCTTCCCCTAGACTGAATTGTTACATTGGTAGTGTATACCCTAGAAACACGCGGCATTGAAATGTTTACAGTGTAACTACGCTACTAGTGTTGTCTGGTTAAGGAGAGACTGATTTAGACTTAAAGCCATAACTTATACATCTCTCTCTCTCTCTTTCTCTCTCTCTCTCTCTCTCTCATCAAACATCTTTATATAGACCAGTCTAAATTATATAACCTTGGCATTCATACTAAGGGGCCCTAGATCATACATGATATCGACAGGATGCAATTTACAACAATTGATAAAAAGTTAAATAAACGAATTAAAGACTAAACTTTTTGTAGTCACAAATCTTCAAATAGATCAACTTTTTGCATAGACAATAACGGAAATGCATTCATAAATAACATGAAATAAAGATAGGTTAACGTGTACTCACAAGAAAACGGAACAGTGTACAAAACCTCAGTATACCGTACCGCATATGGCATGACCGTATTTATAGAAGCGATTAGGAATGGGCACAAGTGGATCACCCTTTTAGGGAGTTTTGTTCATGTGACAACCCATGCTTGACAGGAAAATCACACTTTGCTTCTTCTTGAAGACGTGTTGAACACGCTCTTGTATTCTGTATATATACAACAGGACAAATCTTAATCGCGGTGTTTCAAATCTATTCATTTCAAATGCACTCATTTCAGAATACCAATGAAATCAGACAGTGAACTAATGTCAGACATTGTATTTTGTAAATTGTGGTGATGAATTTCGATCTTCACCTCCGTTTAACTGATTTTATTTCATTGTTTTTACATGCTATCGTTAGGTATCACGAGATAGGTAACGTATATAGAACGTATGTGAAAGAGAGCCGCAACACCAGAGAATAATAGCTTCAAAATCTCACCATATTTCAGTTTTTTCGCGAAAACATTGCTACGTAGTTGGTTATTCTAAACATGAATACCTCCCAACAGTTTGATTTTATTGAATTATAAGTGAAACAGCAAATGACTCTAAAACCACATAGACGACGTCATGACACCAATATAAGAAATGCACCAAAGGGAGAATTGTGGGCGTGTGTTTGCTTTTAAAAAAGGGCGATTTTAAACGTCACTATGTCCAAATTTGACAACATATTTAAATGAGTTATTTAAATATGCAAATTGTATTTTCCCGATATTTTGGATTTACGCTTGATCACGATCTATTTGTTATGTAAGTAA